CTTCGTCGTCGTCGTCGTCGTCCGTCGTCGGCGTCTCGTCGTCGTCCCTCCTATTTCGTCGCCGTCGTCGTCGTCGTCGTTGTCGTCGTCGTCTTCCCTCCTCCCTCGTCGTTGTCGTCGTCGGCGTCGCCGTCCTTCCTCCTTCTTCGTCGTTCGCGTCGTCGCCGTCCTCCCTCCTCCCTCGTCGTTGTCGTCGTTGTCGTTGTCGCCATCATCGTCCTCCCTCCTCCCTCGTCGTCGTCTTCGTTGGCGACGTCGTCGTCGTCTTCGTCGTCGTCGTCGGCGTCGGCGTCGTCGTCGTCGTCGTCGTCGTCGTCGCCGTCGTCGTCGTCGTCGGCGTCGTTGATTTCGTCGTCGTCGTCGTCGGTGTCGTCGTTGTCGTCATCGTCGGCGTCGTCATCGTCGTCGTCGTTGTCATCGTCGTCGTCGTCGTCGTCGTCGGCGTCGTCGTCGTCGTCGGCGTCGTCGTCGTCGTCGTCGGCGTCGGCGTCGTCGAAGTCGTTGGAGACGTCGTCGGTGTCGTCGTAGTCGTTGTCGGCGGCGTCGTCGTCGTCGTTGTCGCTGTCGTCGTCGGCGTCGCTGTCGTTGCCAAGTGCCACTTAGTACCCACCGTCACGGTCTTAAGAGATTTTGCAAACCAAGTTGCGGGTGGGTGGGTGGGATGTTTGCGAGAGCAGTGGAGTGGACAACTCACTGCGAACAGAAATTAATTGCACCACATAGCTTGCACCATATGTATAGCTTGCACTGCACCGCTTGCACCACGTAGCTTACACCGCACGGTTGCACTACAAAGCTTGTACATCCAGAGTGTAACAAGGTAGGAGCTACCGCTTGGGGTCCACGCTGGCTAACATGTTATTGTAGATGACTTCTGTTTGTTGTAGCATCCTACATTGCTGGGAAGATATTTGGAGATTCCGTAAAAAGGTTCGGGCCAGACGAAAAGGGTAACATATGGAAAGGGGGGTTGCGAAATCTTCTGCATGCAGCTGGTTTCCACCCCGACGCTGGGCCCAGTCCTCGATGCGTGGGCCCCTCCCGGCGCCAGAAGGTCCCGGGGAAACCAGCTACGCGAGCTGATTATATACCCTGTCGTTTGCTGTCCTACCCTTTCGTCACCCCGAAAGGTTTCTTGGAGGCGTTTCTTGGAGGCTCCTTCGAGGAATTTTCAGGGGGGGGTCGGACGCCCCCGAGCGGTCGGGGCCCTCTTGGGGGGGTCTTGGAGGCCTTTGGGGCCGTCTTGAGGTCATCTTGGCTGTCTTGGAACCCCGCTGGGCAGTCTCGGAGCCCTCTCCCGAAGAACACAAACGGCACACACGTAGAATGTCGACGGCTTGCGCGTATCTCTTGGATCGTCGCGAGGAGCCTCGGAGCTTTCCTCTGAAGAGCAGTCGACGGCATAAACATAAACGTTTGAACGTGCCGCACGGATTTCTGAGATCTGCGCCGGGCCCACTTGGCGGCGCCTCGCGGCGCCTCTGGCGCCGCCCGATGGCGCTTTCTGCGCGCCAGGGGGAGGGTCCCGCGCATAGGGGGCCACATGCGAACCCTACCCCTACCCTCCACGATTTCTGAGGGGGAGGGTGGGGTTCACTTCGCTCATGAGCTCCCGAACGAAGTGAACCCCACCCTCCCCCTCAGAAATCGTGGAGGGTAGGGGTAGGGTTCGCATGTGGCCCCCTAGCGCAGATCCACGAAATCCGCGCAGATCGTCGTGGGGGTCTCTTTGAGCCCGTCGTGGGGGTCTCTTTGGGCCCTTTTGGCTTCTCTTGGGGCCCATTTGCCTCCGGAGAAGTCACGCGGGAAACCCCAAGAGGTACGCAGGAAGCTTCAAGAGATCTTTGAATTGGGGTTTCTTCTTGTCCCCTAAAGGTTCGATCTTCAAGGCTAGGACGGAGCACGCAAGCGATCTGAGGACACTCTAAATCGTGCCTCGCGGCACGGTGGCGGATATGTGCGTACGGCTCCCAACAGGAATTCTCTGGTATTCTTAAAGGTGTCTTTGGCCTGTTGCCAGACCGGCGTGCGCAATGTTCTTGGAAAGCGCGCCAAACTGGAATGGCTACTGGCGCTCCGCCAGGAAAGCGGCCAGTCCGCCTGGGAACAAGCTGAATTGCCCGAAAAAGTCTAGATGCGTTATTGCCTCCCTTCTGTACTCCAGATTTCGTAGTAAAAGGGAGGGGGTCTGGACCCTCCAAGACAAGCCATTTCAGACCTCCCCTGTGGGAGAACCCTCCAAAACATCGTCCCCAGACCCCCCAGGCCCTCCAAGATAGCCTGGAAGAGACCCCCCCCGAAATGGGACCCCCCTCCCTTTATTACGAAATCTGGAGTACACCTTCTCCAGTCGGTTTCAACCACTTGTTTGTTCGCTCCTGCTCACTGTTCGCACCGTGTGTTTCTCTCTCCGCGCTCCGCTTGTTCTTGTCAGCTCTCTGACAGAACCATCTTCGGGAGCGGATTTGCCCTGTGAGGCGGTGGAGCTTGATACGTTTCGGGCCTTGAGCGGTCTTGCACTCCCTTGGACAAGTAATGCAACTCTCGCGCTTGGTCCGTTTCTTTGTACCCCTGAATTTCAATGTTCCCTTCTGCCCCCTCCTCATCCTCCTCCTCCTCCTCCTCCTCCACCTCCAGCCTCCTACTGCTGTCACTTCCTCCTCGAGCATTATTATGCGGCCTCCTCCTCCCCCTATCTCCTCATCCTCCGCCTCCTCCTCGTCCTCCTCCTTCTCACCATCATAATCATAATCATCATCATCATCATCATCATCATCATCATCAGCAGCAGCAGCAGCATCAGCATCAGCATCAGCATCATCATCAGCATCATCATCATCATCTTCATCTTCGTCATCATCATCATCCCCATCAGCATCATCATCACCATCAGCACCAGCACCAGCATCAGCATCAGCATCATCAGCATCATCCTCATTCTAAGTATCATGAGCAGTGCCATCATCACCGGCCTTATCATCAGCAGCAGCACCATCACCATCACCATTAGCATCATTATCTTTATCAGAAGCAGCATCATCAACATCACCACCATCAGCATAGTCATCAGTATCATCATCATCATCAACATCAACATCACCACCATCAGCATAGTCATCAGTATCATCAGTATCATCATCATCATCATCATCATCATCATCATCATCATCAGCGTCATCATCGTCATCATCATCAGCATCAGCATCAGCATCGCCATCATCATCATCAGCATCAGCATCAGCATCGGCATCGGCATCACCGTCATCAGCATCATCGTCATTATCAGCAACATCATCAGCATCAGCAGCAGCATGTTCTTCATCATCGTCGTTGACGTGCCTCCTCATCCCCCTCCTCATTACAATCATCATCAGCATAAGCATCATTATCAGCAGCATCAGCATCAGCATCAGCATCATCATCCGCAGCAGCATCATCATCCTCAGTATCATCCTCATCCTCATCATCACCATCATCATCATGATCATCAGCATAATCGCCATCAGCAGAAGCAGCATCAGCATCAGCATCAGCAGCTGCATCAGCATCATCATCAGTTGCATAATCATCAGCAGCATCATCAGCATCATTATTGTCGTCGTCGTGGGGCCTCCTCCTCCCCCTCATCATCATTAGAGTCAGCATCAGCATCACCATCAGCATCATCATCATCAGCCAAATCATCGTCATCATTGTCATCATCATCACCATCATCATCATCATCAGCATCATCATCATCATCGCCGTCGTCGTTTTCATGCCCCCTCCTCCGCTCCCTCGTCAGAATTACCATCATCACCATTAGCATCGCCGTCTTCGTCGTGCCTCCTTCTCCTCCTCCTCATCACCATCTTCATCTTCATCATCATCATCGTCGTCGTACCTCCTCCTCCTTCTCCTCCAGCTTCCTCCTCCACCTCCCCTTTTCCCTCTTCCTCCTCATCTGGCCTCCTGATCTCGCCTCCTCCTCCTCCTCCTCCTCCTCCTCCTCCTTCTCTTCCTCCTTGTTGTTGAAGTTGCTGGCGACAGGGTGCCTTTGCTTTAGACGCCCTCGGCCGGAGTCCCAGAAAGCAGTATGGGGTTCAGAGCAGCCTCGGCACGGCAGCTTGCAGCCGACGAGGAGATTGCGGCCACCGCACTTCTGGGCCCCCATCAGTGCTCAGGGGGGGAATACCCTCAAAGGCACGGAAAACAGTTGTCACGCCGATAAGACATGAAAAGGGCATGTTTAGGGGCCGTTCCTCGTTCTCCTCCTCCTCCTCCTCCCTCCGCCCTCCTCCCTCCTCCCTCCTCCTCCTCCTCCTCCCTCCTCTCCTCCTCCTCCTCCTCCTCCTCCTCCTCCTCCTCCTCCTCCTCCTCTCCTCCCCTCTCTCTTCCTCCTCCTGTCTCTCCTCCTTCTCCTCCTCCTCTCTTTCCTCCCTCTCCTCCTCCTCCTCCTCCTCCTCCTCCTCCTCCTCCTCCTCCTCCTCCTCCTCCTTCTCCGTCTTCCTCCTTTTTCTCCTCCTCCTCATCCTCCTCCTCCTCCTCGGGCCTCCTCCTCCTCCTTCTCCTCATCCTCCTCCTTCACTTTGTCCTCAGCCTGTTTCCGTAGACATTTGGGCTCAAGTTCCAACGTGATCCCCGACGCTGGAGCTTGAGCGCAGCCGAGGGGGCAGGCTCGAGGGCCCCCGAGAATTCCATTTCACGCGCGCCTGTGCCAGCCTGCCACGGCGGCTCAGGTTTTCACCGTCCGTGGTCCGCCCCACGGACGGCCAGACGACGCGATCCCCCTTCGCAGCAGCAGGAGGGGCCCAGCGCTCGACCCGTCGGGCCGGGCCGACGCGCAGCCGTGGTACCGCAAGTGGTGTGAGCACAAGCCGTCGAGTACCCCGTGGATCAATCGTGCCGATCACACGTGGTGCTCGCATTGCGGTTTGCCCAAAAGGACGGCGTCCAAGAGGCACCCGCCAACCCATGGCCTTCCCGCCACCCGTTTCGCCTCCGCCACCAGTGCACGCGAGCAGTCGTTCACGAAACAGCTGGCGGGCTTGCGCAAGCAGATGCAAGAGCTGGTCGGCAACAGCGGTGGCGACGGGATCCAGGCGGCAGGGCAGAACGGCGGCGGTGCCCCTCGTGGTGTGCTGAGAAGCTGTTGCCCGAGACCAGGAAGCGCTTCGATGATATCAATGTTTTCCTCAAGCCCTGTCTTCTTGGTAGCTCGGAGCGGGGCATGCAGGTCCGCGATCAGTACACCAAGGAAAATGATGATTTGCAGGCACAGCTCGAGGCCGCCAAGCCTTTGTAGAAGAACGTCACCGTGCTTTCGAGGCAGCTGCAGGATGCCAGGCGGAAGCAGACGACGTTCCAGTCCAAGGGGGAGGCGGCTGAGCAGGCCGTGGAGAAGGCGCGGAAGGCGTTGGAGCAGGCTGAGCAAGACGAGACGGAGGCCGCCAAACATGTCCTCGAGCTGGAGTCCAGGATGCGCGTCGTCGTGGCGCAAGGGGCCCCAATGCAGAACGGCAGCCCCCCGTCCATCTCCGATTTCATTCCAGGGTTCGAGACGACCACGGGACAGTTTGGTAGCGTCGTGCGTTGCCTGGGCGGCGGTGGACGCTTTACCGCTGATCTCGCCGCTCTTGCTGCGATGGTGGACCAGCTCAAGGAACGCGCAGTCCCGTCGCAGCAGCCGCCCACCCCCGAGACGGCAGGCCACGGCGACGGAGGCACGCAGCCAGGCGGAGCCCAGCCTGGCACGCTTGCGGCGGCCGCGGCTGACGACGGCATGCATGTTGACGAGGAGGCGACCACGCACCTGGACAGCCTGGACGCAGCCACCTGCCGTGGGCACCTCCGCAGCGCGGGCATCGACGTGCCCGTGCCTGATGATGATGCGCCCGACGATCCTGCACCGTTGCGAGAGCAGCTTAAGCGGCAGCTGGCAGGATTGCATTGAGCGCACAGGAAGATCAAGACCGCAGGGCGGGCGTGAGCTTGTTTTCTCGGTGCGTGGCTTTTCCATCACAGCAATGATGGCATCTTTATTGCAGCCCGCAGAGGCGTGGCCTGCTTCTGCCTTGCAATCTTTACAGTCTTCCGATGGCGCTGAGATCGCCGGCCAGCCAACCGCCATGTGCTATGACATGCGCAACTCGCAAGGTGGCCCTTTCTTTCGGCACGAGAGCCAGGACAACAGCGGAGCAGCGCAGTGTTTCAGCTCGGCCTCCGCAGTGCCAGGCCCCCAGGACCCCGCCGCCCTGGCCGCGACCCAGGAGCCCCATGGCGTGGCAGCTGGTCGTCGCAAGGCCAGCAGGGCTCAATCGAAGCTGTCCGACAGTCCAGTCACTTGCGCGCCCGCTGCCACTTCTTTTGGCCCGTCGAGGGATTTTCTTCCTGACTGGGGCTAGCGGGTTCCTAGCTGCGCAGAAAGCATCTCGTTTGCGAAGCCATGGCCGCTGACGAACAACACGCCATCCTAGGCGCGGGGCGCCGCGGGCTGCGGGCGGCCGCCGCGCCGAGCGAGGACAGAGGGCTTGGGGCGCCAGGCGGGGTGGCCGTTTTGGCGCCCGCCTCGGCGGCAGCCGCGGCGCCGCCCAAGCGGCGGGCCCCGCGCCTGCCCCAGTCCGCGCCGTTGCCGCCCGCGCCCGTTTGGGGCCCCCCCGGCGGCGTCGAAGTCATTTCTGTGAATTTCAAAGGCAGCGCAGGCCCCGGCCAGGCAAACAGCGTGCACCTTTAGGCCACGCTAGAGAAAGTTAGCGTGCTCAACGCCAAGCAGCAGCCCTGGATCGTGCGTGGTGAGTGGAAGATGGGGGTCGACGAGCGCGCGCAGTCGCCGCGGCTCGACGGGGTCCGAGCTGCATCATTCCTGCCGCTGGCCGTGACGCGCCGGCTGGCAGGAACTGGCACTGCCATCGATTTCTTCGCGGCCAGCCGCATGCTCGCTGCGCGCCTCGGCCCAGCTGCTTGCGTGGCCGAGTCAGCCAGCGCCTGTCCTCACCGTCCTGTGCCAATTTGGGTCACAGCTGCTGACTCGCCCGCGTGGACGCGCGCGGCCTGCTGCCTGCCGCCCATCCCCGCTGGCCCACCCGCGGGCTGCGCGCGCGCCCCTGGAAGGCCGTGCTGGAGGCTGCTGGCCCCAGGGTTGACTCGCGGAGGCTCTGCCCAGCGTTTGGGATCTGGCGGCCACGGGGATCGAGTTTGAGTTGGCCCCCAGATGGGACCGCGCAGGGCCCGCGATGGCCAGCGCGTTAGGGAGGGCGGGGCCCCCGCAGGTTGTTCAGAAGAAGCTCGCGCGGGCCCCCCCGAGGGCTCGCGCCTACCGGGGCCCCACCACCTGGCCCTGGGCCACTGCCCCCCCGCTGGGCCAAGCACGTAGGCAAGATGGGGTAGTTTCTGTTGGGGGAAGTTGGGCGCCTCAAAGCAGCCGCTGCATTGCGCGGGCATGTCCCTGCCCGGCATGCCAAGCAGTTGGGTGCATTTCTACAGTCCAGCCGCTTCATGAAAAAATCGTGGTTTTCAGAAGGCCTTCTCTTGCCTGGATCCAGGCTGCGATGAGTTCCCCCCCGCAGAGGTTCGCAGGTGCTGTGGCAGCCTGACCTCGCGGGCAAAATGGTCGCGTTTGCGCCGCCGCCAAGGTTGGGGCCCAGAGAGCCGAAGCCGCCGCGACCCAGGCTTGGACCGCCTGAGCCCGAGAGGATTTCCTTGGAGGTCCGCCCCAGGCTCGCCGCTTCAGTAAGATGCGCCCTCCCGAGGAAATCTTGCATTCGAGCGCTGACGCTCAGCCGCGCGCCCTCGTCGACGCGGAGCTCGAGCCCTGGGCCGAAACCACGGGGGCCCATGGTTGCGCCGGACCCCCGCTGCCCCCCGGGGCCCAACGTTGGCCCTTTCCCCCGCGCGCAGATGCCGAGCAGGTGCGAAGCGCCCCCATGAAATTTAACGCGCTCACTGCAGTGGGCCCTTCCTAGATGACTCTTCAGGCCCTGTCGCAGGCGTCCGATGGTGCCTTGCAGGCGTAGCTTTCCTTTCCAGCGAGCGCGAAGCCCTCCTTGCCTGGCCGAGCGAAAGGGCCACGACGAAGTTGGTTCGCTTGGCCAAGCCTGGCGGAAGCACGCGCTTCATAGCGTTGACCACCTCCTTCTGGCATGTTTGGGGCAAGATCAGACAGCCGCTCACGAGCATGGCTGCGCAGAGATCTGGGGCACGGCTCGACGCCACCGCTCCAGCGAGAGCGTTTTTCCCCATAGTTTCGAGTCCGAGTCCGAGATGACCTGCTTGCTGGGAGATATCATCACATCGGCGCTGGTCGGCGCGGTTAATTGCTTCGAGATGATACACCTCGGACAGCTCCCGATGGAGGCGCAGGCGCCGTGCCCCCCAGGGGCTAGCATGGATGGTCGTGGCGTTGGCGCAGCAGCTGCGAAGGCTTCGAGCGCTCGGCAGTTGGTCCGAGGCGGCGCCTTTCCAGGGGTCGCTTGCAGGTTGCAGCCACGCGACGGGCGTGCTTTTCGCTTTCGCGCATCGGGCGCCCAGGCGTTTGAACGATATTACGCCGCCCGTCACGCCCCGCGCGTTGGTGGGCGACGCGTCTTCGCGGCTGGTCGCCCATGACAGGAGGGGCCCTGCGCAGTCGGAGGGAGCCATCAAAGTTTTTTGGCCCTGGGCGCGAAGGGCTCTGACGACGCAACCAGCCCGGAAATCTGGAATCGCGGCCGCCGAGCAGCTGTCCAGGCGGAGTGCGGTGCGGATGAGGCTGGGTCTCAGGTTATGGACGGGGAATCTCGGACATGAGTTGGGAGGGGCGCGCGCGGCCAGACCTCGGGAGAACGCTCGCATCAAGGCAGTCAAGCAACGCAAGCGTAAGTTTTCGGCTCTGAATGCAGCCGCGGGCAGGAGAGGCGCCCTCCGTTGGAGGACGGGCGCGCTGCCCGCGGCGGCCCATGGCAGCGCGTTCCCAGGTGCATCCGACGCGCCGCTCCGTCACTCGCAGCATTTTGCCGCCGCCCTCGCAGGAGGTAAGCCCACGGGGGCATCGTCGCATTTGTTGTTCCCAGCTACGACCCGCTATACGACCCGATGTTCGATGTCGCCCTGGCGGTCGGCACCGAGCTTGCTTGCTGGATTTGGGGCAGGAGCGGCGAGGGCCCGGGGGGCCTGGCTGGTGCTGATAGGACCCGTGGAGGCAATCCTGCGCGGCAAAGTGCTCGCGGCCCCACGTCGGCCACATGCCCGCGGCAAAGTGTTCGCTGACCCGCGCGGTCAGCGCGCGCTGCCTCGCCGCCGATTTCGGGGGCCAAGTCAACCTTCTCATTGCGATCCCCTACGAGGTCAAACTGGCCTTGGTAGAAGGGGCGCAGCGCTGGCCGCGCAGAGGCTCTTGGGGTGCATGCACACGTCTGCGCGGAAAGAGGTGGCCTGTCACTGGGCCCCACGCGCATAGCTGCCATGCGTTGTCTTCGGCGGTGGGGAGCTCCATCGGCTCTGGCCGAACCGCGCCCCCCCCCTTCCCCTGCGGCCCGAGAACTCATGGGCGCCAGGTGCAGCCCCATTGTCGCGTCCGCGGTGCACTTGGAATCGCCGACGGGCGCATGTGGCACATATGCGATGGGTTGGTGGACCGCGAGGGCACTGACCCGCAAGGAGAGGCCGTGCCCGAGGCCTTTGTGGCGACCGTGAGGCCCTCAAACAGTCTGGTTTGGATGCCGCTGCGCCGTAACCCACGGGGCCCCCTCTCTGTCAGTCGACCCTCAGGCCCCCGAGCCCCAGCCCGTGGCAATGCACCAGGGGGGGGCGTTGCTGGGGAATGGGGGCCCGGATCTTTCGTCGACGGCAGTCGCCTGCAGTCTAGCATTCCACAGGCTTCCAGGGCCGGGCGGGCGGCCGCGCAGACGTCGCCGCGCCCGCTGCCGCGCCGCGCCGTCTTCGGACGCCCTCCTGGCGCGAGGCAGACCATCGGGCGAGCCGAGAGGTGGGCTGCGGGGCGTGCGCTGGCCCACCGTGCACGGACAGGTCATTGTCTCAGATTTCGAGGCCACCGTCCGAGAAGGAAACAGTTGGCCCCCGGAGCTTGCTCGCGGCGTGTCCAATCACGCCCAGATATGGGGGGGGGCATTTTTCGCTCAGGAGCAAGGCACCACAGTTCGGTTGGCTTCCTGGACACCTGTCGCTCGATGCAGCGATGGAAACAGGACTGGATCCCAGGCGGTGGGCTGGCAATATTTTCGTTGATTTATTCGCGAAGTTTGGCTCGGCTTCTCGTGGCTTGCCCCGGGGATTCGCGCGGGCTTCGGCTGGCGAGTTCAAGCATCATAAGTGCCCGTTGCGTTCTCTAGCTTGGGTGGCCCAGCAGGCGTTGCAGCACGGCGCTCGGGCCGGGGACTTGCCCGAGAGGCCCGTCGCCAAAATTCCCCCTCGCGCCGCGGCCAATAGCCTCAACAGTCATAAGATATGGCACCCTGGGACTAGGTAGATATGACAGTGTCGCGCGCGCGGTCGGCGAGCCAAGTCGACCAGTTCCCTCGAGGCCATTGCTCTGCAATAGGAACACCAAGTTTTGTGATCCGCCTGACAGCCAGCGATCGGCGGTTGACGAGTGGTTCCCCAATTCCGGGGTTGAGTTCAGGCTTGCGCAGAGCGAGGCGGTCCGAGTTGCGCGCGACGCGGCCGACCGTCTGGCCCGCGACGACGACGGGCCAGAGCCTGGCGACGGCCAAGGGCCGCCCCCCCCTGCCCCCCCCGAGGCCCCTCCCGACCCCATCGACCCCTCTCGCCAGCTCGGACGCGACCCGTTCTCGCGCGGCCCAGCGTTTTGTTGCAGGCTCCACGGTGCCCATGGGGAGTCGCATTCCTTGAGGGGGCTCCTGGCCTTGCGCAAGGGCCCCTCAAAGGTTGCCTCTACTAGATGCAACCAGAAGACGCACGCGCGTCGGCTAGAGCGCGGTCTCTTCCCCAAGACAGGCGTGAATATAAGTCTGCCTGCCGTCGCGGGGGTGGGGTCGGGTGCCGCGGAGTCGCCCAGATAGCCGCGCCACCTCCCTCTCCTCGTCCCCTTTTGTTGTCCCCTCGGGGGTGACGCGCGGGGGCTCTCGTGCGCGACGTTGCCCGTCGTCGCCCGCGCCCGCCGCCGGCATGCGCCGACATCTACGGCTGCGCAGACGAGCCCTGCGGCTAGGCAGGTCCCCTTCCTTGACTGGACCACCACCTCGGGGCTTAACCTTTGGTGGTGGCGCTAATTACGGACGCGCCTCCTCGTCTTCCTCCTGGGGGTTCCTGCCTCCTCCTGGGGTTCCCTTTTATTGTTTGGGCCTCCCAAAGTTTTCGGGCCTCCCAGGACTTCCTTGTGCCTGCTGGAGTTTCTTGGTGCCTCCTGCTGCTCCCTGGGGCATCCCGGGGCATCCTGGAGTTCCCCGTGGTATCCTGAAGTGTCCTGATTTTTGCTGCCATCGGATGCGTTCCGAGGGCTCATTCCCGAGACTTCCTCACAATCCACCCAAAGACGCGGTTTCCGTCCTAATCTACTTCGCGATTCGTTCGCAAACGAGTCTCCCGCTCGAGATTTCTTGTTGATTCAGGCGTCAGGGGCCCGACAGCGACGACAGTTCAAAGTTTTGGACCACCCGCTGCTATTACGAACATGAAATGCGGGCCCCATAGGCCGGGGGGGGCTCCCGCCTGAGACGTCCTCGATTCACTCACTGACGAAGCTCCTGCGCGAGACTCTCTCCAGACCCAGGCGCCAGAAACCCCAAGTTGACGACAGTTACAGGTTTCAGATTTCCCGCTCTGGGTACTAACATGAAGTGCGGGCCCCATAGGGGGCGGGATCCCGCCTGAGAGTTCTACGCGATTCACTCACAGACGATGCTCCCGCTCCAGACGATCTTTTAGAGTCAGGCATAGGGAGTCCAAAAGTGACGACCGCCACAGATTTCGGGTGGCCTGCTCGGATTACTAACATGACATGCGGATCCCATTGTGATGGGATCCGTGCCTCAGATTATTTCGTGATTCATTGACGAGGCTCTCGCTCGAGATCCCCTCCTGACTGATCGGATTACTAACATGAAGTGCAGGCCCCATCGGGGGGGGGAATCCCGCCCCAGACGTTCCCGCGATTCACTCACAAACGAGGCTCCCGCTCGAGGCGTGCGGGCTATGAATGTATGTATGAGTGTGTGAGCGAGTGAGTGCGTGTGTGAGAGAGTGAGAGAGTGAGAGAGTGAGAGCGTGTGTGAGCGCGTGGGAGTGTGAGTGAGTGAGAGAGTGTGTGTCGGTGGGGGATGATGTGAGTGCGATGTGCACGCTGATGATGTTGTTGTTGATGGAGAGGAGGATGGGGACGATGATGATGGTGTTAATGATGGTGGTGCTGTGCTGGTAATAGCGATGGTGATGGTAATTCTGATGGTGGTGGTGATGGCGACGGTGATGATGACGATGCGGACGATGCGGATGATGCAGATGATGCTGATGGCGATTTTGATGGTAATGGTGATGGTAATGATGGTGATGGTGATGGTGATGATGATGGTGATGGTGATCCTGATGATTATGATGATTAAGATGGTGGTGATGATGATGATGATGAGGAGGAGGAGGAGGAGGAGGATGAGGAGGAGGAGGAGGAGGAGGAGGGTGGGGGAGCCTAAACATTTGAAGCGCCCGGAGAACTCCGCCCCACCGACACCAGCCTCTCTAACCAGGAGGGGGTGGGCCTCCAAGGAGGGGTGGGGTTCGAAGCGCCCCCACCCCCATGTGAAGGGGGGGGGGCGAATCGGGGGGAGCCCTCTCCGTCCTCCAAATAGAGTCTCATTAGTGCTCGATCAGGCTTGAACCCCTGATAGGGCTCTCCAGCTATAAAAGAACCCGAGTAGGGCTGGATCCATGTATAATTGAATCCTAATCGGCCTCGATTCATTTCTATTATTGTGTCACTATAGCTGGATCCAACTTTCATCGCATTCTATTTGGGCTCGATCCAGCATGAAAGCATATTATAGCTGAACCAGCTTTAAATAAATCCTAGTAAGGCTCGATCCAGCCTTGGTCGAATCCTACCAGGGCCCTGGTCCAGCCTGTAAAGCGCTCCTATGAAGGCCCGATCGTCGACTTTGACGGTCGTCGTTGTCGTTGTCGTCGTCGTCGTCGTCGTCGTCGTCGTCGTCGCTGCCCGACTGCGCCGAAGCCAGCGCCGGCGCTCGTCGTCGTCGGAGGGCCCCTCCCCCCCCCGTCGGTTCGAGCCCCCCCCCTGCAATTCAGGGGGGAAGCGGGCCGCGCCTGTTTCGAACCCTCCCCCACACTCCTTAAGGGGAGGAGGGGCGGGCAGTTCAACGTCCCCCCTTGCAATTCAAGGGGTGGGGGGGCGGCGGTTCGAAGCCCCCCAACCACCCTTTGCAACGTCGATAGATTGCGCTCTTTGGGAAAAAACAGAAACCCGTTTTGGGACGTGGGGAACAAGAAGAGTTGCATCTCTGTTCGAGGGGTGTGTGGACATCGATTTCTCTGGCTGCGCGCATGTACAATCTCGGGCCTCGCACTGAAAGCTTCGGAGACGACTAAATGAGGTCACGGGCGTGTTCGTGGACGGGGCCCAGCGCATCGTCCAGGAGGACCGCGACAAAGGGCTGCTCCGACTCGCTGCCCGCATCTTCGAGGCGGCCGACCAGGACGGGTCGAAAGACATCAGCGGGCAGGAGTTCGAGGATATCCTCAGCAGCGAACTTATGATGGACTTCTGCGAGATAAACAACATCAGCGTCAACGAGGTGGCCAACTCTGAAGAGCGTGCCTGCCCTTTCGAGGCCAACTCTCAGCTCCGCCGACCTTCCGCCGACCTTTCGCCCGCAACGCCGCCCTGGTGTGCGGTCCTCCTGTTTCCACGGGCCTTCTGCTGGCACCATGTCGCCCCCTCGATCCTTTGAAGGCGAGGCTCTTTCTGGAGCGCCCCAGGTGGACACGCTGTACAAGCTGCTGGCAGAAGGTGACGACGAGGGGAACGTGACCATAACCGACTTCGTGCGGGGCTGCAAGATGCTTCAGGGCGAGGCTCGCGATGCTGATTTCCAGACCTCCTTCTGATCATGATTGTGATGCCCCTTCTCGTTGTTCCCTCCCCTTCCCATTCTACAGTAGGTACGCCAAGTAAAAAACTGGCCTGCAAGCAGGCGCCCTACAGAAGTTTGTTAGCCCACCCCCAAGGCCTTGGGGACTCACAGAAGGCCCGGGGCACCTCCGGCATCCCAAAACTTGACGACGAACGGGCCCTTTGATTTCTTCTAACAAGATCTCTGATCGTATGGGTCTACTGTATGACGCGTCCTTTGTCATGATTCGAGGCTCGCGCAGCCGACGTCCAGACCGTGAAGCTCATGTGCAAGCAGCACTTCGAGCAGACCGAGCACATTCTGCTGAGGCTGCACCAAAGCAGGACCCAAAGCAGGACCCGGCGGAAGGCCAGTCGCTGTATCAGCGGCCCCCCCGAACGAAGAGGATGTGGTGGTGGTGAGGAAGAGGAGGAGGAGGAGGAGGAGGAGGAGGAGGAGGAGGAGGAGGAGGAGAGACGAGGAGGAGAGAGGACGAGGACGAGAGAGGAGGGGAGAGGAGGAGGGGGAGGAGGAGGAGGAGGAGAGGAGGAGGAGAGGAGGAGGAGGAGGAGGAGGAGGAGGAGGGAGGAGGAGGAGGAGGAGGAGGAGGAGGAGGAGGAGGAGGAGGAGGGAGGAGGAGGAGGAGGAGGAGGAGGAGGAGGAGGGAGGAGGAGGAGGAGGCGGAAAGGAAGAGGAGGAGGAGGGGGAGGAGGCGGAGGAGGAGGAGGAGGAGGAAGAGGAGAGGGAGGGGGAGGAGGAGGAGGAGGAGGAGGAGGAGGAGGAGGGGGAGAAGGAAGAGGAGGAAGAGGAATAGGACCAGTGCAAACCCAAGACCCAACAACGATGTTGGAATAAACCCTTCCTCCAAGCTCCCTCCTCACAGGCCCCATACAAGGGTTTGTGTCCACCGAGGTAAGTACCCTGTTGTGCCTCGTTGGGAGACAACCGTTGGAAGATTCGGAAGCATACCAAAACACAATTCTCTGAATTTCAACGCCACGCATCAAACTAATTGTTGCGTCTTCCCGATCCTGAATCGCGCCAGAACACCATCCCTGGGACTTCAACGCCGCGAATCAACGTAACTGTTGCGCCCTGGCAATCCTCAGCCTTTTCCAAAACACCGTTCTGGTACACTTGCCCAAGGAATCCGCAACATTAGGGCAATGCTTAACACGAATGTGCGCGGCGAGGAGGTCATAGCCAGAGCCACATTTTGAATATCACCCGCCCTCAACCCGTGAAGCCCTTGCATGTGTTGAGGCCAAAGTGCGCGGCGCTACGGCGAGAGTCACATTTTGAACGCCTCCCGTCCTCAATCCGTGAACATTTTTTGATTCGCATGTGCGCGACGCTATTGCCACAGTCTCATATTGAAGACGGCCCGCTCTGAATCCGCAAAACTCGTACACTTGCTGAACATCTCATGTGCACGGCGCAGATTCGAGAGCCACATTTTGGGAACCACCCGCCTTCCATCCGTGAAATTGATGCAACAGTCAAGGTTCAGGACCACACGTGGAGAGGAAGTCTGAGGCGAAATGCCCAGCCAGCCCTTTCGACCAGCCTCGTTCCAGAAGCAGAAGGACTAGAGGAGGAGGACCAGTACAAACCCAAGACGCATCAACGACGTTGCAATGCACCCTCCCTCCACGCTTCCTAGTCAAACGTCTCAGCGAGCATTCATTTCTGTGCGAGGAGTGCCCCATTGGAAGACAACCGTCTGTCTTGCCAGACCGCCACTCCTGGGACGTCGAGGCCGCAGATCGAACCGACGGCTGCGCTATGCGAATCCTGGTGACCACCGCTCCCGGGACTCCATCGGAGGCCACGCGCGAGGCCAGAGCCCCAACGCGCAGGGCCCCCGAACAAAAAAAACTCCACGGGCCAAGAGGCATCGTTCCTGCCTCTGGAGCGCGGGCGGGCCCCGGCGGCGCCCAGGGGCCCGACGCGCGAGGCCCCCCCCAGAACAACCCGCGGGCCAGAACCCGGGTCACGATTCCAACCTTTGGGCCCCGGGAGCTCCACAGGCCGGCCAGCACCCCGGACATCGGGCGTCTCGAAAAGATCGAGACGGAGGTTTTACGCCGTTTTCGGCCTCTTGGGGCCCTCGCCGGGCCTCGGGGCCGTCAAAAAGCGACTCGGGGTGGAAAACCGGCCCCGGGGAAGCGCTCGGGAGGTCGGGGGCCCGTGTCTCGAAAAAATCGAGACGTCGGATGTCTGGGACCCAGGTCACGACTCCATCCTGTGGGCCAGGCCACGGGAGCAGCGGAGCCCCCCCCCCCGCCCCGCGGGCGCGCCCCCTGGCAGGGCCCAGGGCCCCGCGGGCCAGAACCCGGCTCGCGGCTTCTCCTGTGGGCCCCAGGAGCTCCACAGGCCAGAGCCCAGGTCAAGATTCCTTCCGTGGGCCAGGCCAGGGGAGCAGAAGAGCACCCCCCGCACCGCGCGCGCGCGCCCGCGGCAGCGCCGCAGAGGCCCGCCGCGCAAGGCCAAGCAGCAGCTCCACGGGCCAAATCCCAGGTGACGGCTCCTCCTTTGGGCCCCGGGAGCTCCCGAGGCCAGCACCCAGGTCTTGATTGTTTCTGCGGGCCGGGCCGTGGCTAGCAGCGGAGCACCCCCCGCGCCACGCGCGCGCCCCCCTCAGGGCCCAGATCCCCGACGCACAAGGCCCCCCACAGAAGAGACGCAGGCCAGAGCCCAGGTCACGACTCCTGCTTTGGGCGCCGGGGGGCTCCACATGCCAGAACTCCGGTCACGTTTCCTTCCGTGTGCCAGGCCACGGGGGCAGCGGAGCAGCGGAGCACCCCCCCGCCCCGCGCGCGCGCCCCTGGCAGGGCCCCGGGGCCCGACGCGCAAGGCCAAAACCTTGACGCGCAGGGCCCAAACCCGAGCGCGCAAGACCCCCAGCAAAACTCCACGGGCCAAAAAATTGCTTTGGCCTGTGGAGCTGCTTCTTGGCCTTGCGCGTTGCAGCCGGAACCCCATCACCGCGAATCAGCCTGACTGTTGCGTGATGAGGATCCTGAATCGTGCCAGTACACCGTTTATGAGACTTCAACCATACGAAATGTTGAAACTCTTGCAAACTGTTTGAACGAATGCGCGCGGCGCTACGGCGAGACCTACATTTTGAACGCGTGTCGCTTTGCAAGTTTCAAGCGTCAGGATCCGTCAGGATCCGAAATGGTGACGAAGTCAGAGGCGAAACGCCCAGCCCGTCCAACCGACATGTTTGCAGGTGCGACAGGGAGGAGTTGTTCAAAATGGACAGAGGTGGATGAGGAGGAGGCAGAGGAGGAGGAGGCGGAGGAGGCGGAGGAGGAGGAGGAGGGCAAGTGTAAACCCAAAAATCGTCAACGATGTTGGCATAAACCCTCCCTCCAAGCTCCCTCTTCATAGGCCCTACAACGGCTCATCTCCACTCAGGGAACTGCCTCGTTGGAAGACAACCGTTTGAAGACCCTGAAGCATGCCACAACATTGTTCTCGGGATTCCAACGCCACGGATCAACCTGACCGTTGCGCCTTGACGATCTAGAATCGTGCCAGAACACCATTCTTGGGACGTCAGCACCGCGAATCAAAGTAACTGTTGCACACTCCTGAACCATTCCAAACATCATGTCTGCTACACTGATCATGGGAATCCGTGAAACAAATCGAATGCGCGCGGCGCTAAGGCAGGAGCCACAGTTTGAAAACCAACCGTCTTCAATCCGTGAAGATCTTGCACATGTTTACAACGAATGTGCGTGGCACCAAGGCGAGAGCCAAATTTCGAAGACGGTCCGCCCTCAATCCCCGAAAGCACATCTTTCAGCGTCAGGGTCATCAAAGATGAGGAAGCCTCAGGCGAAACGCCCGGCCCGCCCTAAAATCTGGCCTCGGGGCGCGACAGGGAGAAGTTGTCCATAAGGAAAAGGAATGGAGGAGGAGGACGAACAGGTAGGAGGAGGGGGAGGAGGAGGAGCAAGAGGAGGAGGACGAAGAGGACCAGGAGGAGGCGAAGGAGGAGGGCCGCCGACATCTCAGCTGGCCTTCCTCCGAAGGACCGACCTGGCCTCTGGGCCGTTGGGAGGTTTCTCCCCAGGGGGGAATCCCTTTCGCATCCCGTCGACCGACGACGGCCGCGCGAACATGCTGCCCATGCCGCAGGTGCCGGGGGCTGCAACAGGAGCGGATGTCCGAGGGCGGGCATCTCAGCTCCTCTTCTTCTTCTTTCTCCTTCTCCTCATCCTCCGCTTCCTGAGCAATTTCGCGCCCGAACGCCCCCCGCCCCCCCTTGCACGCGGCGCGCAAGGGTGTTTCGCGAGCAGAGTTCGAAATGGCCCTGCTCGCGAGAGCCGATATCACGAAACGTGGTGCCCCACGTCATCAGCTACAATGCTGAGATCAGGCGCATGCGCGCCAGCCAGGATGCGTGGCACACTCCGTTTCCCCCCACGTTTCTCCCCTCCTTCTGCCTCTCCTCCGCCTGTTGGCATGCAGTGGCGCCAGTTGCGCCGCCGCTGCCAACGTGCAGGCAAACATGAATAAGCTGGAGCAGCCCATCAGCAGCTACAGTTGTGGGTTTGGTGCGTGCGGGAGCAGCCGAGCAGGGGCCAACCAAAATCAGCAGCGTCATCAGCTACAGTGCTGGGAGCGGTCCGTGCGGCGAGACCGCGCGAGCCAACGTCATCAGCTACAGAGCTGGGGCCAGCTCGTGCGGGAGACGCCAAGTCGAGGGGCTGAGCAAAAATGCAGGCACTGGCGGCTGGGACTATCAACGCGAGAGTGCGAGAAAGTAGCCACGCAGGAGCAACATGTTCAACTACAGCGCAGCGCAGCAGACGCCAGTTCGTGGTGCGAGAAGGCAGGCATTGGCAGCATGGCCTGTCGGTGCGGGAAGGTAGGCAGTGGCAGCAGCGGTGGTCGGTGCCAAGTGGCCAGCAAGAGCAACATCCTCGGCTATAGTGCTGCGGGCGTCGTCTTGTGCGAGGAGGCACGCACTGGTGGCAGGGCCAGGCGGCGCGAGAAGGTAGGCGGTGGCAGCACCAGTTGCTGGTGCCACATGGCCAGCAGGCGCAGCAGCTTCAGCCACAGTGCAGCGGGGGTCAGCCCGTGCGGGAAGGCAGGCAGTGAACAGTGGCAGCATGGTCCGTCGGTGCGAGAGGGCAGGCAGTGGCAGCAGAGTTGTCCGTGCCAGTGGCCAGCAGGATCAACAGCGTCAGCTACTTTGTGACGAAGGTTGGCTCGTGCGAGAAGGCAGGCAGTGACAGCAGCAGTTGTCGGTCCCAAATGGCGAGGCAAGAGCGCCTCGTCGGCTACAGAGCTGCTGGGGGGCAGCTCGTGCGAGAGCAGTGGCAACAGGGACTGGCAGTGCGAGAAGGCAGACAGCGGCAGCAGTGCCTGTTGGTGCGTGGAGGCAGGCAGAGGCAGCTGCGGTTTTCGGTGCCTGCCGACGCGGCCTGACCACCTCATCAGTTACAGCGCTGCTGGGATCAGCTCGTGCGAGAAAGACAGGCAGTGACGGCGGGAGATGGGAAGGCGAGATGCAGACGTCATCGTAGACGACGCTGGGGCCAGGCTCGTGCGAACTTGCAAGCTTACCCACGGAAGGCAGCAGGCGGCGGCGCGGGCCAGGCCGCTCAGCAGGCCGCCGCAGAGGGCGATGTTACCGAAGGGCGTGTTTCGACAGATGGGCCAACGACCAAGGACTGCCCATTCCTCCCACCCTCGTCGCTCCTCGTCGCCACGGCTACGCCTTTCCCGTTACGTGAGAGAACGGGCATGGCGAATAGATGGCTGGATTGCGCGCCATCAGCAACAATTTCTGGGCAAAGCCTAACTTTGTCGCCCAGGGAAGGCCTGGGGTAGGGGAAGTGTTCATCGCTGCCGCCCGGTGTGTATCGCCGCTGCGGAGGTCAGGCCATCATAATCCAATATAATCCTTTGCCTCCTTCTACTCCTCCTTCCCCTCCTTCTCCTCCTCCTCCTCCTCGTCCTCGTCCCCATCCTCATGCTCATGCTCATGCTCCTCCTCCTCCTCCTCCTTCTCCTACACGCCCTCCTCCTTCTCGTCCTCCTTTTCCAACTCCTCCTCCTCCTCCTCCTCCTCCTTCTTCTCCACATCATCATCATCAGCATCGCCATCATCATCATCATCACCTTCATAATCAGCATCAGGATTATCATCATTATCATGATCATCATCACCATCAGCTATAACATCGTCAACAGCATCGCCATCACCATCAGCATCATCATCCCAATCAGCATCAGCATCGTCATCATCTTCATCACCATCACCCTCAGCATCGTCATCATCATCATCCGCGTCATCAGCAGCATCATCATCAGCAGCACCATCATCACCATCAGCATCACCAGCATCACCAGCATCATCAGCATCATCATAATCCTCATTATCATCATCCTCATCCTCATCATCATCACCGTTACCATCATCATCCTCATCAGCATCATCATCGTCGTCATCATCATCATCATCATCACCATCATCATCATCATCATCATCACCATCATCATCATCATCATCATCATCATCATCATCATCATCATCATCATCATCATCATCATCATCATCATCATCCCGTCCTTCAGCGGAGGTGGAGTGAGGTGAAGGTGGGTGGAATGGCCCAGCGAGGCGTCCCAGGCAGGCCAAGGCAGAGAGTTGCCGTGCCGTTCTTCCATACTTTCGTAGGGAGATGTTTTGTCATTCGACTAACAGCCCTATCGTGGCTTGCTCTTCGGAGCCCGCCAACAACGCGGTTCGCCTCAACCTCCTCCTCATCCTCCTCCTCTTCCTCCTCTTCCTCCTCCTCTTCCTCCTCCTCATTCGCCCCCCCTCTTCAGAATCCCGGGGATCTGATCGCCCGCTTGCTCGACGAAGCTCGGAAGCGAGCACGTGTGATGCCCCCCCACGTTTTGCTCGCCCCCGCCGCAGCCCTGGGAGGTGGATGTGGACGACCACCTCCCGGGCGGCATCCTCGAGTTAGACGACTCGAAAGCTTGATTCCAGCGCCGCCGCGGCTGCGCCGCCTCAGCAGTCCCTGCCGCGGGCCAGGGGCCTCCCTCCAAGAGGTGGTCTCGCCTGAGCGGCAGCGGAGCCTGTGGGGCTGGCCTTTTTTCGTTCGTTGCCTCCGCTCTCCACCATGTGGCCCTGGTCTCACAGCCACGATCATCACTTGCATTTCGAGACGGCTCCTCCGTGCTCTCTTCTGTGCCAGAGCCGGCGCTCAGTGAGATGCCTAACCTCACCAACGACCTCGTTCACCAGCCGTTCTGCGCCCTCCGGCCCGCCATCGCGCCCTCGGGGCACTCTCTTGTGGCCACGTTCCCTCCTGACTTCCGAGATCGCGACTTGTTCGGGACGGGGTCCCCAGAGATTCTGTCCCCTTCCATGGGGCATGGTTTCCTCCGATTTGTTTCTGACTGCCGTGGGACCCAAACGGGTCCCCGGATGCCGAACTGGTGGAACATTCGGGGGCAGCGATAGTGGGGGATAGGCATAGGGGGGGATGCATCGACCCCCAGTCGCCCATTGATTGCCGATAGGGGCCCGATAGCCCAACCTGCCCAGGAGGGTGCGGATTCACGATCGCAGGCCTATCGCCGATCTATCGGCGATGCAGCGCCGATTCCAGATCGATGCATCCCCCCCTATGCCAGTCCCCCCCTATCGTTGCCCCTCACACATGTTTTGCATCGAAAACACCATCTCGGAGGTCTGAATCATCCTCCTGCTGCCCCCCTTTGTTTTTCAAGCTCAGAATCGATCGAAGAGGTCTACGGCGAGTCACCGCCGCCCCCTGCCCTTGTGAAAGCGCTGATGTAGCCGACAGCTGGGCTAGAGCTTGGCTTGGCCTAGCTGTCGGGCCAGTTGTTCCGCGAGTCGGTTAGGCAAGCCTTCGGGGAGCGCGTGGGGGAGCAAGAGGTTTGAAAACGCCCATGTGTCCGAGCGCTGTGGCCAGAGCTCGGCCAGCCCACCAGACCATGTGTTCCCCTTACCGTTGTGAAAACCCTTCGGGGAACACTTCGGGAAGGACGGCAGGCAAGATTAAGAGGAGGAGGAGGAGGAGGAGGAGGAAGAGGAGGATCAGAAGGAGAAGAAAGAGGAGGAGGAAGAGGAGGAGGAGGAGGAGGAGGAGAGGAGGAGGAGGAGGAGGAGGAGAGGAGGAGGAAGAGGAGGAGGAGAAGGAGGAGGGAGCATCTTGGGAGCCTCTGGGGGCACTCTTGGGGCCTCCTGGGAGTTTCGTGGGAGCCTCTTGGAGGAGGCATCTATAGGGGCCTCCTTGGGCATTTCGGGACCTTTGGACGCTTCTCGGGGGCCTCCTTGGCCGTCTCAGGGCATTCCTGGCACGCCCGACGCCGTCGGAAGCCCCGACTGGGCCGACTTGCAACCCTCTGGGGGTGCTGCAGGGCCGTCTTGGATGCCATCTTGGGCGTCTTGGAGGCCTTTGGGGCCGTCTGGGGGTCCTCTTTGGGCCGTCTTGGGGTCCCCTTGGGCCGTCCTGGGGCCATCTTGGAGGCCTCTTGGGCGATCGTTCGGCTCTTGGGCCGTCGCGGGCCGTCGGAAGGCCGAACAGAAGCAAATGCATCTTTCAAAAACCGAAGAACAATCCATGAGTTTGGCATCTTCGGGCCTTCCTGGAGGCCCTCTTGGGCTGTGCCGGCATCTTGTTGGGGGCCTCTTGGGCCGTGTTGGGCCATCTTAGAGCTATTTTGGGCCGTCCTGGTGGGCTCCTGACCCGTCTGGCGCCGTCGGAAGCTGTCTTTGCAGCCTCTCTGGGCCGACGGGGGTCCTTCTTGGGACGCTTCAGGGCCATCTGGGATGGGAGGCCATCTTCGGCGTCTTGGAGGCCCTCCTGGGGCGGCTTGGGGCCCTCCTGAGGCGGTCTTGGGGGCCTCTTGGGCCGTTCTGGGGTCATCTTGGAGGCCTCTTGGGTGATCTTGGGGACGATTTTGGGCCGTCTCGGGCCGTCGTAAGGATGAAAAGGAGCAAATGCCAAAATCCTTCAAAGCCGACGGAAAATCAATGATTTGGGTCACTTCGGGTCTTCCTGGAGGCCCTCTCGGAGGCCTCTTGGGCCGTCTTGGAGGCCTCTTGGGGGCCTCTTGGGCCGTGTTGGGCCATCTTAGAGCTAGTTTGGGCCGTCTTGGTGGGCTCTTGACCCGTCTGGCGCCGTCTTGGAGGCCATCTTGGGCATCTTGGAGGCCGCTTCCTGGTCGGGCTTGGAGGCATATTGAGCCCTCTTGGGCTGTCTTGGAGATCATCTTGGACCATCTTGAGCGAGCTTGAGGGCCATCGTAGCCGTTTTGGAGGCCATCTTGGAGCCGTCTCGAGCAGGAGAACCTTTGGCAACGATCCCTTCTGGGTCCTTCCGGGTGGCCGGCGGGCTAGGCCGGAGCCCAAGGGGAGAGTTCTTTTAGACAATCAGAGGCAGCTGCGTGGAATGGGGAGAGGTGGCATTCTACGGAGGAAGATAACATCATCAGCATAACATGAACCGAAGCTAACATCAGCGATACGCATAACAGTATACGGAGCACTACCACATCATCAACATACTAATATACCATAACATATACGGAGAAAATTACAATCATCAACATAGCATTATCAATATACTGATTTATAGTATACGATATGAACAAAACATCACCAGCCGAATCACCAACAGCATCACAAGAATAATCGTCGTCATCCTCAAATCAACGCCATCGTCACTTTCGGCACCGTTGTCACCGTCAACATCCTTGCATTGATCAGCATGCTCGCCATCACAGTAACCGGTTTTGGCTCATCATTTCTCTCATCCATATCGAGTCGATGCAGCGGCCAGGTGTCTCCCTCATCCATGTATTTACTCTGTGTATTCACTCTCGCCGCGCATTTGGACTGCGCCTCCTGCGTTGGCGCGAAGCATGGCCCCGCTCCTGATGCAGCCATGCCACCGATGCCAGACCCTCGGCGCGGTGGCATCAAACGTCGCGCTGCTGGATTGGTGGACGAGTCCACCGCAGGAAAAACACCCCATGGCGCAAGCAATATTAAATGATTGGGCAAAGGGAGATTCGAAGTCACGCCAAATTCATAATTCCGCAGCCTCTTCCTCCTCTGGGGACGCACGGCTCCAGAAGCTTGCAAGAGTTGCGAACCCGGGCAAATCCAAAAGCAATCTATTTCGGGATCTGGCAGGGACTTTCGGACTACCACATGGAGCACCAGAGTTCGACTGGCTGGCACTTCCGACAACAAGGGGCCAGCGCACGGCACGTCCAGTTATCTTTCCACATACGTTGTTCCATCACTTTGCGAAAAAAACAATCAAGACAAGTTTCAAGACCGTGTCGCGGGCTCGCCCGAGGAGCGTCGTCAATTCTGGGAGTTTTTGCAGCATGCGGGGTTCGTCAAGCGGCACGAACGCATAGAGCGAACTCAGTGGCGCAACATTGTTCCGCTTGGCATACATGGCGATGCTGGCGCGTACAGCAACCAGGATTCCGTCTACGTTCTGAGCTGGAACGGGATTCTTTGATCTGGATCGACACACACCAAACGATTCCTGTTCATTGCGATGCGGAAGTCAGCGATGATACCAGCAACGATTGATATTCTTCTGGAGAGCATGGCATGGTTTTTAAGTACCCCATCAAGTGGCAACGCACCGACGGCTGGTTTTTTGGGACGCCCACTCCTTGGAGGAGATCGCCCACTCGAGCGCGGCCCCGCGGCTGTGGCATGTCAGATTGGAGGCGATTGGCGACTTTTACCAAGAGATTGCCAAGCTCCCCGCCCACAATGCTTTGTCAATGTGCTGGCTATGCGCCGCCAGAAGTCGCATCGGACCTCTGCTCTGGACGAACTCTCGTTCAGACGCTGGCTGGCGCGGCACGATGTTTACGCGTGAAACGTTCGTGGAGTTCAGGCGACGGCTAGGGATGATGCTGCCAGTGTTCTTCTTGATCGTGGGCCTACAGTTGGAGAACATCATGATCGACACGCTACACGCGATCTATCTGGGCGTGTGCGCCCACGTGGTGGGGAACACTGTGGCTGCATTGGGTCCGCCGCAATATCTTCAAATGGTGGTGCTCATGCAGACTGCATCAGCAAAACGGAAGATAATCTCAAACAGCGGCATAAAGATGTTCGCCGCGAGAATCGAACTCAACGAAAGCTTACGCCGCAGAGGGCGAAGACAAGCGCCGATTGGCCGAATATGAAAGCCAACGCGGCCCAGACTCGAGCGTCGGCGAACTACGCGCTGCATCTCGTCACGACGTTGGGCGACATGAATAACGAGGAGGAACAACTCGCCATGGTCGCCGCAACTATCCTAGTAGTGTTCTTCACAATCACGAAATCAGAGGGCATGTTTATTGTCAGATGCTGCTCGCGCTTGCTTTCCTAAGCTCGGCCAGGAGCTCGCTGTGGTGTACAGCAAGTTATCGATCAATGCGTTCAACGCTGGCGCCAAATTTTGGAAATTGGTTCCAAAGTTCCACACGTAGGAACATTTGCTTAGTGGCAATGCTTGGAGTGGGGCAACCCACGCTTCTTCGCAACATGCGTTGACGAAAGTTTGGGCGGCATATGTATTAGGATCTCGGAGACTGTGCTCACGTTAACACTTGCAGCATCAATTATTTTCAAGTGATTGCATATGTTTGATTAAGACTAGGCCTCTGCCGGTCTCTGGGCGAAGCAGCGAAAGCAAACGCATCATCACTATCATCGTCAGCATTCCCACAATGACATCGCAAACCAGGGGCGTAAAGCAACATGTGTACACAGCTACACATGTAAGCCTGAGAAGATTGCGTATATCGCTACGCCCGCATATTCAACGCGCTGATGACCCTGCGGGAATTGACGGACGGGAACCAGCGAACAGGACTTCCGGCGAACAGGGCCTGCATCGCGCGGGCGGGTTGCAGTGCGTCCTCCGGTCGCGGCTGCGGTTGCGCGCGCGCGGGGGGCTTTACATGTGAATGTATCGCCCAGTTGCA